CCTCTAACAAAAGGAAGTTCCGATTGGTGTATCATAATAATTTGTGTTTCCATGTCAGTATTTTGAAAATGTGGTGAGTTCTCATTCGCATATTTTCTTTTTTCTTTTTTTTTTTTTTTTGTCGTGTTTATTTGCAGTGGGAGTAACTTCAAGGTGAATTTGAGCAGTTGGACTATCTCAGAAGGATACTTGATGAAGGCATGGGTGTAGGAACTGGGGAAGTTGTCTTTTCAAAATAGAACAATTAGCAGCAAGTATAGTTGCATTAAGCACTGTGTATTTGTGTCCACCTTACAGTTTGCAGTTTTATAGGCAGTGTATTTGTGTCCATTTTACAGTTTGATGTCCTATCGCGAATGCATCACTGTACTTGTTAATAATTTGTGTTCCCAGGATTTTCATGTCTTATTTTGGCTATAAACAAAATTTAACTAATTAATAATTTACCTTTCTAAAAGAAAAAAAGAAAAAGGAGAGGAACTTGAATCTCTCCAAAAGTGCCATAGCCAACAAGTAGAGACTGTTTGAAAGCAGGCAGAAACAATGCCATTTTATGCACCATATTCCCAATATTACTGAATCAATTAGTCGGACCAAGATTACAACAACATCGTTGATTATGTATTAGCAATTCACAACTTTCCCAAAGGGAAGCATAAGTTCTCACAGCAATCTTTGTTAGTGATGACAATCATCTACAAACTCAAACCAGATTGCCTAATGAGCAAGTCTTCAATTTCTAATACAAAACAAGATACTAAGATTGAGACCCTTTCTATTCAACTTCTATTAGGACTGCGGTTGGATGAATATGCCCCTGTAAAGAAGGTACATATATGACATCAGAATAAAAGGAAGCCATTGATGCACTTAATTGGAAATAATCGAAAAAACAATGACACTGACCTCTGATTACATGACATTAACTCTTTCACGAATGGACTTCAGATCCGAAACTTTCTTCATGCTGAAAAAAAAAAAAAAAAGCGTCTAATCTTAGCTAAGCTAACTATATATATTACTTAGACGTTGATAAAAATTAAGTGAGCAACAAGAAACATACAGGGATAATCTACTGAGAACTGCCTTCTGAAAGAAAACACCCTTAACAAAGAAACTTACCTGTACAAAAGGTCACCATTACGTGCCAATTTCTTACAAAACCAATCCGGAACCAGCTTCTCGAGGCCCTCCATATGCATTTCAACCTCATCTAATCACATTGAAAAAAGAAAATATTCAGAAAGACCTGTCGAGAAGTTGAAGAAAAATGAGGGATGATAACCCATGAGAGTTGAAAACAAATGAGACACATCAACTAAGCTTACGGTGGTCATCAAACTCAAACCTGTCCATAATAATCTTCTGAATAAATATGCAAGTCTATGGACCTAGCAAATAGTAGCCTTACTTTATAAATAAATGTATGTGTGTGTGTGTTTTTCTTTCTTTCTTTCAGTCTAAATCCTAAACCAAATCAATCATAGACTCTCAAACTCAAACTTTATAGATATGGAATTCACTTACTCCATGCCTACTTGAGGAGAATCCACTCATCAAAAACAGCCCTTAAACCCCGTTAAATGTGAGTTAAATTCAAGAAAGCAATAGCTACACAAGACAAATCAAGAATATAGTATAAAGAAAGGCAATGCCACATTACAAAAGGGAACAAAAAAACACTACAAAAACACACCACTTGGAACACAGCAAGTGAAAATGGCATTCAAGAAAGTAATTGTATATAAACAGGAAAATCCAAGAATTTTTTGGCATAAAGAAGGAAATTCCACAGCTTACAAGGGTTAACGAAAAAACGAACCTCGATTATCTTTCTTTCACGTTACATCAAGTGATCAAGATAGGGTTCTTCTTGTCTTCTCCTTTTCTCCTAGAATGAAACTTATTCTAAGTTACAACAAACAGCAAAAAGAGTCGAATATCTAAAGTACAGAAACTAGCACAATGCCTCCTATTTTTTCCCCCAAAACAACAAGAAAATCACATGCCGCTTAAACCACTATAGCAGAACACACTGTAAGGTCTTGCAACATGCTTCTTTTGATTGCAATAAGTCATTAAAATTTATAATGAAACCAATTAGGAATAATAAGGACCTAAGGTGCTAGAACAATACCATAATATTTCAGCAATTAAGATATATATTAATAGTTTTTCTAAACTAGGATTTCTTTTCTTTTTTCTATTTTTCTCTCTTTTTTTTTTCTTTTCTTCTTCTCTCTTTCCCAACCCCAGTTGATTACTCAATCTTTGCTAGATATAATTTAAAATAATAATAAAAAAAATAATAGAAATACAGTTTTCCTTCACACTATGGTTTGGCAAAAAAAACCCTAATCAAACCTTACAGAACCGTACCTTGAGGGTCCGTTTTGGTAGTGCCGGCTTCGAGAAGTTCGATTCGCCGGAGGAGCTCGAGCAGTCGACTTGCCGGAGGAGGTCAATTTCGACGGCGACGTGAATCGTGACGGGCATCGACGACGGCGGCGGCGAAAATTGGCGTGAATCGTTAGCAAGAAGCACTACCAAAATTTGGAGAAGGAAGAAAGCGAGAAACGGGCTCATTAAAGCGAGAAAAAATTGGGCAGAGAAGTAGAGGAGGAAGGAAAAATTCTGAAAATTTTGAGATTACAGGAGGGGGAAACGGGCTGCTTTTTTGGAAAAGTAGAGGAGAAAGGAAAAATTGAGATTGAGGGTACAAGTGTATTTTTACAAGCCCAAATGGCTATATTTCATTGTTCTTAAAAATATGGCCATATTTCATTTTTTGTTTTGGTAAAGTGCTATAAAGGGCCATTACCACCGACATTAATTCACTGCTATCGGTCAATAGTGAACGGATTTAACTGCATCCATGAAAGACATTATACGAGATTCATCCTTTCGTATTCCATCTGGGCCACAAATGCCGCTACTTACATCAATCCCTGTCGGTTTTAGAGTCGAAAGAGCATCACACACGTTCTCGGGTTTAATCCCTCCAGCTAATAGCCATCCCTGTTTGCTCTTAATAGGCGGCAGCTTGAATTTAGACCAATTAAACCCTTTACCACTGCAAATATTTCAAATAGATAGAAAGATAGGTAATATTTGTGTTTCTAGACAGTTTTCCCTACATAGCTTTTTCTGCAGTGACACAACATTTGCAGGAAAACCCAGAAAATTTTCAAAAAAAAAAGAACAAATCTTTTGTGGGTTTTTTTGGTAAATCCTCCAAACCTCAAATCAAAATCGGAAAAAATTGACAGCTTTTCAAGAAATCGTGTACCTGCCACCTTGAGCACTATCAACAAGAATCCAATCAGCTCGAGAGCATTCTTCATCCGAAACAGCATTCAAAAGAACCCCATTTTCATTCGCATGAAGAACATAAATAACTCGGTTTTCTTTCACCACGATCTCAAAAGCGTCTCGCGAACCATTCCCATGGAGCTACATTGCCCAAACAAGAACAAAAACAAAACGATACCTTTATTATAGAAACTAAAATAGAAAACTACTTAATGCATGCAAAAAATGTATTATTTATAACCTGCACATATTCGAGCTCGGCTTCATTAGCAGCCCGTAATATTGTTTCAGCATCATCATCCACGAACACTCCAACGGGCTCTGCCCCATTTTTCCGGGCCACTTTTGAGATTTCTCTTGCGATCGAAAGTGAAATGGACCTTTTCGAGTTTGGCCAAATAATCATACCTATGAAATCTGCACCGGCTTTTGCTGCTAGAGCTGCATCTTGAGGTGATGTGACCCCACACATCTTAACTAAAGGCTTATTTTCTTTAAGGTCCTCATTAGCAGCAGATACTTTTAGTGACCAGTTTGAAGCACGTTTTGTTTTCGTGTTCAGAAAGCTTTGGTTTGTAAGTGAATTCGAACCCTCAGGCTGTAAACCTGCGTATCAGGTGGAACGATTCGTTCTTTTAATTATTACGTCCCTATTTTTAAAAAATCGAGAAACCCCAATGGCTTGCTGTCTCGAAATTTCGTAATAATAATAAATGCTGCATGAAAAAAACATAGAACCAAGCAAAACTAATGGCTACTGAATAAGTATATAAGATTTCACACTCAAATTCTAGAGGTGAGCAACTGTGTGGTTCGGTGAAAAACCATAACAAACCACAAAAACCCAACTTATAAATGAAAATAACTTAATCTCAATGCAACATAGAAAAAAAATCGAATCGAAACCGAACCCTGAAAAACTGAAAACCCAACCTGTGAAAAATAACAATCGAATCCCATTGTTGTGTAGAAAAATACCGGACCGAAAATTTCCACAATAAAGAAAGGCAACAGACGAGAAGGGGTAGCTCAGTTGGTAGCACTCTTCACTTAGGACTAACAGGTCTCGAGTTCGAGCACTACTGATCATTTTTAAAAGAAAATAACAACAACAACAACATAACCTTTAGTCCCAAGCAAGTCGGGGTAGGCTAGAGATGAAACCCAAGAGAAACACAAAAGACTCGAACCGAATGGAATTGCATACCATATATAACACGTTCTTGAAATAAAATATATAAGTAAAAACTGCAAAGATTCAAATCTTTAAACTAAAACTCATAGCATTGTTCCTTTTTCTATCCACAACAACAATAACATAGCCTTTTAGTCCCAAGCAAGTTGGGATAGGCTAGAGATGAAACCCAAGAGAACTAATGGTAAGAGAAACACAAAAAGGGCTCAAAACAAAAGGAAGAGAATGGAGCAAAAGAGAAAGGAGCAAAAGTCACGGTTCTGGCACGTTGATTGCTAGCCTCTAAGCGCTCCTATCCACCACTAAATCCTTGGAGATATTCCAATTTTTAAGGTCTCTCTTAACCGACTCTTCCCAAGTGAGTTTAGGCCGACCTCTACCTCTCTTTACATCATCGACCTGCTGTAGAACTCCCCTACGCACCGGTGCATCAGGAGGCCTCCGTTGGACATGTCGGAACCACCTCAGCTGATGTTGAACCAATTTCTCCTCAATTGGAACCACCCCGACCCTATCTCGAATATCCTCATTCTGGATTTTATCCCTTCTTGTGTGCCCGCAGAACCAACACAACATACGCATCTCTGGTACACTTTGTTGTTGGACATGTTGCCTTTTTGTAGGCCAACATTCAGCACCGTATAGCATCGCCTGGCGAATCGCCGTCCTATAGAACTTAACTTTTAGCCTTTGTGGCACCCTCTTATCACGGAGAACGCCCGAAGCTTGACGTCATGTCAACCAACTGGCTGCAATTCTATGCCTAACATCAACATCAATGCCGCCATCCTTTTGTAGCATCGATCCTAAATACCGGAAAGTCTCCTTCTTGGCCACCACTTGCCCGTCAAGACTAACGTCACCATCATCATGTGTAGCCATGCTGAAAGCGCACGTCACGTAATCGGTCTTCGTCCTACTAAGTCTGAAGCCTTTAGACTCTAACGTGTCCTTTTTCTATCCGAACTCTCATTTATGATCTACCCCAAGTTCTATATTTATCACCTCCAGGCTTCAATACATTTCATAACATGAAAAATAAAATATCTAATTATGCCAATTTGCTGCAAGTACCTGAACATTTGGGCACAACGAAGGCTTTAGGCAGAATTTGGGCACCCATATTCACAAATCACACCTGAGAAGAAAATTTAGTAACTGTTATATATTGTTTAAATAATAAGAAGAAGAAAATAAAAAATCAGCTTTCGTTGAGGACTTTCTACAAACAGCTGTTGTGCATGCTGCAAATGAACTAATTACACAAGCAGGTAAACGAGTAAAAGCCTCATTGTTGTTACATTGCCAATTCATATTCATGGACTATATGGCGGCTCATAAAAGATGGGCCGAACTTAGTAATAAAGTAGTTAGACGAGTAAAAAGATTACCCATTGGAGCTTACATTGCCAAATCATATTCATGGATTATATGGCCTGCTAATGATTCCGAAAAGATGGACCGAACTTACTGCTCTTATTAAAAATTACGGGCCTCATGGACCGAACTTACTGCTCTTATTATTTTTTTTTTTTTTCAAAAAACACAGCTTTTGCAACTTCTTCAACTAATACTCTAATCTTTTTCCAGAAATCTTAGCTGTAGCTACATTTCAAAAATAACAAAACTCTGGCCTTGGGAGAAAACTGATAATTATAATATTTAACCAAAGTTTTTCAAAGGCTGAGCTATAACGGTGAAAATGAAAATATAAAGTTCGAGACTTTTTGCTCAAAAACTCAAAGTAGAATGAAGATAAGCTTTTTTATTCCACAGCCATGAAAGACCGGTGCGCAGATGGACAAAGAAACTTCAGAATCCAGTTAAAAATCACCACTTGACATCATTAATCGAGACCCATATACTAATGCAAATTACAAAAACAATAACAACTGCTGATAACTAAGTCAATAATTAAGACCAGATTCCAGGATACATGGATATTTTCAAGGGAAGAAGTGAGAGAAACAAACAAAAAGAAAACAGGGAAAGGAAAAGATTAAAAAAAAAAAAAAAAACCAACGGATCTGGTTTGCCTCAATTTCACAGGCACAAATCCTAAACAAATCACATGCATTAATCAAAAAGGCACCCCAACCCACATCGAGATCCATTCCCCATATGTTGAGATAATTAGCATGCATTAAACAGAAAAGCACCCCAGCCCATAACTAGATCCATTCCCATTTGTTGGGCTAATTGGCAGCATCAGAAACAAGCTCAGCTACACAACAGTCTCATCTCAGCTCACAGTCATACCAAAATCGAACAAGCAAAAAGATCCCAGGTGGGTACATCAAGATCTACCCACATTCTTCTACCAATCAATAATTCCTCTGTCCCAATTAAAATTTTCAACACATTGTAGGAGAGAAAAAAAAAACATGAAGAAAAAAAGATTCAATCTTTGATTAAGAAACATACCTGATTTTTCTTCTTTCCTTTCTCTCTCTTTAGCTGGGAAAAAGAAAGTCTTGATTTGGTGGGGCGTTGATTTTGGCCGGCACCAGAATTACAGCCCTATTAACGGGTGGTGCAAAAGCAATGAGCTTTTGCTCTCTATTTTGTTATAAATATATGTACATGGACATTAAGTCCATTAGTTAGGGAAATTAGGTTTTAGGGCTTGTCACATGTAAACCTTATAAAAGAGTGATATACGATGAATAAAATGACATACTTTTCTGCTCTTCTGTCTCTTGTTCTCTTGTTCTCTTGCTCGTTTTTCTTTACTTTGTTTGGTGTGGATTGATGAATGCTTGAGGATCTTAATTTACAACACGTTATCAGCACGCTCTAATTTACAATTTGTTGGTGTTGCCCTAGAAAGAATCGTGTCTTTTCTGTCAAGGTAACATTCAAGATCTGTTCAATATCAATAATTTGTTCTATGAATCATGAGTATGATCGTATGATATCTGATGATAAATGTTATGGTCGATAGTATTGAATGGTTAATATATTTGTTAACGCATCAAATTATGTCTCTATATGTAAATGTTGATATACGCATCAACGTCTTCGGAAATAATGATTGCTTAGGTTATCTGATTTTAATTTCCAAAATAATATCCACGTATGATGATTGATCACGAGGCTGTCAACGTAATCGTGAAAGGAAAATAGTTTTGCATGAATTTTTTGTTGCCTTTTAGTCGTTCGAAAAGTTCCTGTTAACCACAGACCATTATTTTCATATATAGCATTAGTTATCTAATTATATGTCTATCCAGTTCATCATTGCTTTCTGATCTATGTGATATCTTAAATGGAGAAAATGTCTTAAACTTTTTGAGTTCTTTGAAATATTTTCTTAAATGCTTTTTATGTTGATTCGCACCATCTATTTTGCTTTCTAATTTTATTTTTTTTGATAGTGCTCACATGAATATTTATAATGTTTTCTGGTAACTGAGAGTTTGTGAGCATACTCTTTGTATGGTTGATAATTTAATGTGCTTTGTGGCTATTGTTGGTCCCATTCTATTTATTTTAGTATTTATTGATTAGTGTGATGTATTTACATGTTCATTGCTCTAATAGAGTCCCCCAATCTATTTAAACGTCATGAGCAACTCATTGCTTTTGATATATTCAATTTTAATTTAGAATATTTTTTGAAGAAAACATCAAGTTCAAATCGATTTTTTTTTTTTTCAATCGAAAAAGAAATCATGCCTGTAGCATACATATTAAATTTTTCTTAATGACATGCTGCATTTGATTAGTTTCGGGTTATGCATTTTGTAGCTTTGTCATGGTGGTATCATGCCTGTTGCATATATATATGAAGATTTAGAGAGTATGTTTGGTTGTAATTACGTTGAAAATGAATTTCTGATACATTCCCTGAAGGATCTTCTATAAGTTAATAATAAAGTTTTGATATACTCCTTGAAGGATCAACACCGATACAAGTATTGAAATAAAAGAATAATTACTTTGTGAGTAAGTCTTGTTGACCAATTTTGAATTAAGATGCTATCGAATACATGAGAATAATGAAATCCAACCAAATCAATACTCATGGGCACGATATATTACGAATAGTGATATAAAAGTAGTTCATTGAAATTGTATTATGAGATATATGATAGAAAATTATCTCTCTTCTATATGACTATATGTTTCATTGATTTAATTGTCTTATATGTGCATCTCTTGTTTGATATGATTTCGATTATTCTTCATATTACTTGTTAAGTTTTGAAAGTGGTAACAGACGTAAGATATGTCTAGCAGACATTATCCTCGAGATAAGGATTATTTTTATTTTTATGGTGAATGAGGAAAATTATTATATAACTTATGTAATGAAATCTCTCATACTTCAATTGTTATACTTCTGAAGAGTTATAAAATAAAAATACCCACATATTTTATTATTTATCCATGCATTTGAATACCCATAAAGCATATGTGGATTAATTTTAACATGTGAATTTTGTATGTTGTTTGGAATATATATGGTGAACCTATCAAAATATGCAATTACGTCGTGAATTTGGTTTGGAAATTATATATATGGATTATTATTGTTTCGTTGTTTTATGCATTGAGTATGGACGTGATCCAAAGTTATTGAGCCTAAATCGATTTGAATATCTTGAACTTTAGTCTAATTGATAATGAACCAAATGCATGGTATGTAACTTGTATCGTTATTTTTCTAGTTCTGTCATGAGTTACAGAGCAAATATCCTGTTGAATTTTATGCCTATAGATTTGAGTTTCCCAATCCCTGAAGGATTAATGTATCACTAGTGAATTTGAATACAGACCTAGATTTGGTTATCCCTGAAGGTTTGGTCCTGTTGACCAGTATCATAATTGCATTGGAACTACTAGTGAGTATCTTTGAAAGATTGATCTAGAAAATAATCTGGTTGATTATTGGATAAATTTACGATACTTTGATTTTAGATCAGCTCTGCATATTCTTAATGAAGTGATGTAACCAGAGGTAATTACCAGAACGTTACAAAGATTGGATCAATATATAAATATTCTGAAATTATTTATTTCTGCTTGTATATTTGATAAGATGCATACCATTCACTTATATTGTTGATAGTTACAATAATAAATTTATATGTAGTGCCCGAAGCACATAATATTGTTGATAGCTACAATAAAAGGCTAACAAGCAAAATTTTATTGTATTGCTTGAAGCATATAGTGTTCACTTAGGAATGAATTATTATACTTCAATGCCCAACTTATATATTTGATAAGTAGCATGAGCAGTTGGATCATATTGGGCAATTATTTATGACAATTTCCCCCTAAAATGCATGGAGAGTTGAACATTTCCCATCTGCAAATTATTGTCATTTTATTATGCATCATTTTATATCACCATCAATTCGTACATTTATGGGCCTATATTACAAGGTATGATATGATTTTTATACTCCGTCGAATTTTTAATACCTAGAGGCCATTATAGGGGATCAGTTTATTCCTTGGTACGTTTTTTTTTTTGCATAATATATGAAGATGATTTCACGGCATTAGGGGGAGATATGAGAATGAGTTTATTAATGCCGCGAAATATGTGAAATATTAATGTTTTCATTATTTCAAACCACACAATAAAAATTGTACTTGAAGTTCATATTATATTTCTGCCATCCGAAATCTATAGTTATAATGGAGTGACCTATTTGTAAATATATAGATGTACCACAAAGTAAGCAAATTCCCTAGGGAATGATTGACTCCTTAATGCTTGAAGCATAAGGTGATATAATTAATATGATGTATGAAAGTCCGTGAAAAATGTATATTCAAGAATTAACACTCCTTTATAATAAACTTCTGAAGAGTTGATCCAGTACATCTTGCACGTGCATCAAATCATTATAGTGCTGGAAATGCGGAACGGCCAAAATTAGATTTTACGGGAAATGATTATAAATATGGCTATCAAATGGTTGAGAGAAAAATATAAATTGAATATCAGTTGTCGACAACATACTTGCCTATGTGATTTCTTAACTGTCTCAAATAATGATCCGGATCAAAAGAATAGAAGTGCTAGAAGCGCTTAAGTTGATTGAGATAGAAAGAAGAGCTTTCACTCGCTACACGATATATCCCATGAGGATAGCATATCCCAGAAGGATAATGAATATTTATATGAAACATGTGATGTGGTGGTATGATGTAAATATAGCGAGATTATGCTCATGGGTTTATGCAGAGACCCAAATATTAGCAATGATTCCGCAAGTTAATATTTATGGCAGCATCATTAACATGACTATCGAGTCATATGTGAAAAGTCCTGGATGTGCTCGAGTACCCGAGATGAACGATAATTAAATAATAAATAGTTTATTTATTTGAAGTTGTTGGTAAGATGTGGTACAACCAACTAAATTCTTCCTGAATAAGTAAAGTAAGAAATTCAAGGTAGAGCCTTGTGTATATTACTGGTAATATACAAAATGATCATCTCGGTCAAATAGATTAAGTGGTGAACACTATGTAAAAGATTAAATAAGTCAGCTCATGCTTATAGACGGAGTTAGAATGAAACTCTTGGTTAAATACCAAAGAGTATTATCTCGACTTGTAGATCGAGCATCTCCTAGAAGGAGTATTTTTACCCAACCAATCTACTTGAATCTCTTTTAGTGATGTAAAATTATAACACCAATGAGTGTCAAATATTTGGAATTTGACAAAGATCCAAAGAAACAAATGAGGATATTATAGGACCTGAAGTTCCAATGGACTTGAAGTCCACAAACGACCTGAAGTTTATTTACTAAGCGCAATTGTGCTTAACTTTTATCACGCAAACTGCATCAGGCCTGATACTGCATTTGTGATGAATTTGCTAGCAACATTTACTATTTCTCTTCTTAAAGAGATCGTGATAAACTGAGAATATCCCATTATGCTTTCATGTATGTTGAGTTATCTTTGGACTTGATATATGATATTGGTGGATAAAGCATAAACTGTATAATTGATCCCCGAAGTACTGGGTCCTCGATTGGTTATAGACCTCTTAAATGATATTAACTCTTTACCATTGGTTATTTAAATTTTCCCATATTTATCTTGAAGATAACTCAGTTTGTGTTACACAAATAAATTATGGAAATACATTGGATGATATTTTTGAATTCATATTAACTCTGGAAGAGCAACCAATGACGATTTTATGTAGATACTCTTACCTTGAGGGGGAGCAACAAACATTTATAAATGTAACTTGAAATGCTCTTGCCTTCAGGGGGAGCGATAAATAAATCCTGAAGATCGAGCCCGGAAGGCTAATTGTAATCTTGAAGATTAGGTCCTGTTGGCCGGTGCTGTACTCTTTTTCCCTTAGCTATGTTTTTTACCATTGGGTTTTACTTAGTAAGGTTTTTAATGAGGCAACAACTGTAACACATAAATATGCATATGTCATGTACTCTTTTCCTCGACTATTTTTTCCCACTGGGTTTTGTAGCGATGTTTTTAACGAGACATGGACATGTTGTAGTAATGTCCAAGGGGGAGTGTTATAAATATATGTATATGAACATTATTAATCGATAATTGGGCATGAAGTCCATTAGTTAGGGAAATTAAGTTTTAGGGCTTCTCACTTGTAAACCCTATAAAAGGGTGATATACGATGAATAAAATGACATACTTTTCTGCTCTTTTGTCTCTTGTTCTCTCGCTCGTTTTTCTTTACTTTGTTTGGTGTGGATTGATGAATGCTTGAGGATCCTAATTTACAACATAATTGACCGAAATTGTACTAATTCGACTTCAATTGACTAATTCGAGGTCGATTACACTATAATTGACCGAGATTGCACTAATTCGACTTCAATTGGACTAATTCGAGGTCGATTACACTATAATTGGCTGAGATTTGTACTAATTCGACTTAAATTGGACAAATTCGAGGTCGATTACACTATAATTGATCGAGATTGTACTAATTTGACTTCAATTGGAGTAATTCGAGTTCGATTACACTATAATTGACCGAGATTGTACTAATTTAACTTCAATTGGACATATTCGAGGTCGATTACACTATAATTGGCCGAGATTGTACTAATTTGACCGAGATTGTACTAATTTGACTTCAATTGGAGTAATTCGAGTTCGATTACACTATAATTGACCGAGATTGTACTAATTTGACCGAGATTATACTAATTTGACTTCAATTGGAGTAATTCGAGTTCGATTACACTATAATTGACCGAGATTGTACTAATTTGACTTCAATTGGACTAGTTCGAGGTCGATTACACTATAATTGATCGAAACTGTACTAATTTGACAGATATTGTACTAATTCGACTTTAATTGGACTAATTCGAGTTCGATTACACTATAATTGACCGAGATTGTACTAATTCGACTTCAATTGGACGAATTCGAGTTCGATTACACTATAATTGACCGAGATTGTACTAATTCGACTAATTCGAGGTCGATTACACTATAATTGACCGAGATTGTACTAATTTGACTTCAATTGGACTAATTCGAGGTCGATTAGTACAATCTCGGTCAGTTATAGTGTAATCGAATTCGAATTAGTCCAATTGAAGTCGAATTAGTACAATCTCGGTCAATTATAGTGTAATAGAACTCGAATTAGTCCAATTGAAGTCGAATTAATACAATCTCGGTTAATTATAGTGTAATCGCCCGTTATCTTTTAAAAAATAAAAAATTAAAATAAAAACTAAAAACGGATTTTCAAAATCCGTTTTTAACTTTTTTTTTTTATATTAATTAAAAAATAAAAAAAAATAAAAACGGATTTTTTAAATCCGTTTTTTAACAAAAAATAAAAATAAAAAATAAAAAATAAATAAAAACGGATTCTCAAAATCCGTNATTGATTTGTTTAGTATGACCAAAGTATGTAGAAATATGTCAATATTGTTATTTGACGATAATGGCTGGTTTCATATTTCTCTCTTATTTACCAATACAAAATCCATTGCAACCTGAAAACTGAGTTATGAAATCACAGAAAGTAAAATTCAACAATCAACACTTAACCTGAAATGAATAAAAAAAAAAAAATTGTTCTTTAACTAAACAAAACCACCAAAATCCTTACACGAACACTGCCCTTGGGAAAACTGGTGTAGCCTCTTACTATCGCGAACAACAATAGTTCTGGACATCAAAACCGATACCGTCTTCATAAAACTATGGCAATCCCTACACATTCCGATTTTCTTCACAACCCGAACTTGAGCATTGCCCGACGTGTTGAGCAGCCCAAATGCAACCGCCATCCTCTCACTGTGGCCCACCACCTCCGAGCCCAACTCGGCCTCATACCCAATCTCCCGGGCCCGAACAACCAAATCCTCCAAAAATTCTCCCACCCCATCCCCTTCATGCCGCTTCTTATCTCCAGATTTGAACGCGTAAACCTTATCCCTAATGCTCGTCCAGCTCCAATCCGCAACTTTATCCACCTTCTCGTCTTTCATCATTTTACGAACCCGTGCAACATCCTCCCACCTACCCGCCGAAAGGTACATGTTCAACAGCTGAAAGTACATCTCTGGATCTTTCGGTTTCAACTGGAGCAGCTGTTGAGCTGCGTAAAACGCCGAATCCATTTTCCCCTGAACTCTGCACCCGGCAATCAAAACCGACCACACAAACTCGTTCGGGGCCGTATTCGATTTCTTGATGAAGTCGAAAGCCTCGTCAATTCGACCCAACCGAACAAACAAGTCCACCATGCTCCCCAGGTGGCCCACCACGGGCCTGATTTTGTACGTGTTCTGCATCATTTCGTAATAAGTCAAAGCCCGGTCAACTAGTCCCGATTGGCTACACGCAGAGAGCACGCCCACGAAGGTGACCCTGTTAGGCCGGACCCCAACGAACCTCATGTCGTCAAAAAGGTCCAATGCCTGCAGTGAGTATCCATGCTGTGCGAGCGCAGTTATCATTGTAGTCCACGAGATTAAACTACGTCCGCGCATCTCCGTAAAAGCTCGGCACGCTCGTAAAATACTCCCGCATTTATTGTACATGTTGACTAAGGCAGTCCCCACCACCATTTCGGATGAAATTCCGGTCTTGATTATTTGTGCGTGAACCTGCTCCCCTTGCTCAAGGGCCACCAAACTACTGCAAACCGTTAACATGCTCGAGTAAGTATAGAAATCGGGCTTCAGCCCCGATCTGCTCATCCGCTGGAAAATCTTGAGGGCCTCCACCCCACATAAGTAGGCCGAAACACGATCCTCCACGAGTATGCTCATGTCACCATACCCCGCAATCATAGCATTCCACGTCACCAAACCAAAACCACTCATTCCATCGAATATCTTCCGTGCCCAGCTCACAAACCCGCTTTTCAAGTACAGATACATGACAGCTGTCATCACGGGTATATCCGACCCGTACCCGAGCTTCGTGGTCAACCCGTGAACCTGAGTTCCCAAATCGAGGGCCTGCGCCGTGCAGCACAAACTCAGGACGCTCGTTAAAGTGATCTCGTTAGGTAAAACTCCCATTTCTAGCATCTGGACAAATGTGTCCAAACCCATGGCGGAATTCCCGTTTTCCCCACAGGCAGTTATGAGAGCAGTGCACGAAATCACGTTCTTTTCTTTGGTTCTAGTGAACACACTAAGCGCCATATCCAAACTGCGGCACTTTGTGTACAAACTGTAAAGCACGTTCAAGATGCTCTCGTCGTGCTCGAGGCCGAGCTTTATTGCATAAGCATGAATCTGCTTTCCAAGCCCGATATCACACAAGGACAAGCAGGCGTTTAAAATAGTCCCTAAAGTGTAATTCGTCGGGAAGAACCCGACCTCCAACATCTCCATAAAAACGGGAATGGCGGACTTGGGCTGGGAATTGTGGACATAGCCCGTCATCAACGTGGTCCATGTGACCACGTTTCTGTTAGGCAAAGTGTCGAACACCTTTCGGGCAGCCACCATTGACCCACGCTTGGCGTACACATTGATGAGCAGGGTCATGGGGAACAAGTCCTCCGAAAACCCGGTTTTCATCATGTGGGCGTGTAATGGCTCTACCCTTGAAGCTGAATTTGGCTCTAAACATTCTTGCAAGAGGGGAACGTAACAGGAGGATTTGGGTTTTCGGGCACCGGCTTCAAGTATGGAGGTAAGCGCATTGCTGAATTCCGAACCCAATGAACAAGAATGTTTCTCGCCATAATTTTTCTGCACTTCATAAATCAACATACGCATTAACATACCAAATAGCAGGTGAAATACGAGTAGTATGAGTGCAGAGAAGCTTTGATCTTTACCTTTTCGAAGGGAGGAGAAAAGGTGGAGACTTTCTTGAATTCTGGGTCGAGCTTGATGGTGCTGTTGCCCACCACAACTGGAGGAGGCAAGGAGGCCATCCGGAAAACGGTGACGTTTTGCCTACTGAGGAAAGAACAATCACATCACCACAAGACTGAACTTTAGTTCTTTTTCATCACAGACCAATTGAATCGCGCACTGGCACACCCTAATCCAAGCAATGGAAAAAGATAAAGATTAGAAAGAAAAAAGCTAAGCTAAGTAGCTAGCAAGTAAAGGTTTAGCACGACTTTTGGATAGGCAGCGAGGGATGGATAAGGAGAGAGAGAGAGACGAGGTACATGAATGTGATTATGGTCCTTCTTTAGACATGTTTTGAACAAATAAAATACAAAGTAAAAGGGCAAAACTAAACGTGGGTTCATGTGCCCATAAGGATGCTTTGATCCAACTTTTGGGACCAGTCCAATAATATGGCCCAAGTAAGATCTAGATGGGCTATATTCAAACGTGGGCTTATCATACAATAAGATAGCCCAAGTTTGTTCCATTTAGTTCTCCTTTCTTGTCCTAAAGCCCATGAGATAGTATATTGTACTACCAAACCCAAGATAACAAAAGTATATTAAAATATTATCCAGCAAAATAAAAAATGGCTCAAAAGCTTCTAGTCACCACCAGCAGCTCGTAACAGTCGACACGCGTCAACAAATAAAGTGCTACGTGTACACTTCTCGTCTCTTCCAAAGCCTCTATTTATCCCAAACAAGATTTGCTTCCAAAAGCCAGTGAGCGTCAAAATTTCAGATTCAGTGTTCTGATAAGCAAATACATAAAAGAGAAAATGCAGTCAGCTAAGAATGTGGCAGCTTCAGCCAAGGCCGGCATGGAGAAAACCAAGGCAACCGTCCAAGAAAAGGTTTAATTCTTTTTTGGGTTTTGTATAAAATATATTTCGGTAAAATATCAATTTTTTTTTTTTCAATCTCAGTTAGATGAATGTAAATGAAATTGATATAATTAATTAAATACAGGCGGAGAAAATGACGACTCGTGACCCGGTCCAGAAGGAGATGGCTGAGGAGAAGAAAGAGGCGAGGATCCATCAGGCGGAGCTCCAGAAGCAGCAGGAGCGCGCACATGGTGGCGGCGGTGTTGGAACCACGACTGGCGGAGGCGCCGGGTTGGGATCCGGTGGGGTTGGGCCCGTCGACCCGAACGTGGGCGGTGGTGCTAGAACTGGGTATGGGTCGGGTAATACCTTCTAAATGGGCGATGCTGAGTTCACTGTCTTGTGTCCAAATAAAAGCTTGGTTTTTTTATTTTGTTTTGTTTGGTTTTGTAAGAGAAAATAATGAAGGTGGTTTGTGTGTGTGTGTATGTGTGTGTGTGTGTGTGTGTTACCGAGTGAAGTTTTATGTACTCGCTGATTTCATGCGTTGATGATGAAATAAACTTGTATAAAAATGTGGTGGTTCACGTTCAACTTTTGTATTTGTCCCGGTGATTTGATATGACAGCTAAAACTGTGTACATAAAATGTAATTTAAGGGAGACTTTATACTACCGATTTATGGTGGTTTGCCTAAAGGAGTCGAGGGCCGAGTTTCATAACAGCAAACCTTAACAAATATGCATGCCTTCCATTGGCAAATTTAGTAACCAGCTGCCTGGTTGCGCGTGTATCATATTAGATCGTTGGTAACAAATAATGTACCAAGTGATGTCAATAATTGGCTAAGAAAAAGAGCTTCAAGTCTTCGATTAATAAAAACGGCTATGGACACGATATATATCCCAAGCTATAAGTGATCCAAGATCAGAGCATCCACAAAAAAATTTATATGGTACATAGAAAATGGAGTCGACCAAAAAAAATATATTCTCGATTGAAAGTCCAATTGGATGTTGATGAGTCAGGCAGCAAGAAAAGAAACGGTTTACCTTTAATTTTATTTTAAACTCAATTTGAGTCCCAGTCTTTTTGCAAGTAAATTTAAATAGGAAGACTTGAGTTTATCTACATACAAAATGAGACATCTCTTGCATTGAAGTAAATTTAAATAGGAAGACTTAAGTTTATCTACATGCAAAATGAGACATCTCTGAACTTAGTCTAGAGATTGTTGACTTGGGTCTTCTTCTGAGCAACTGGTCTAAAGAGTTGTCGAGCTAGTCCAAACCTAATTATGAAGACCCGATCAGGAAGAACTAATTCCAAAATATGCTGATCTAATTATGAAGACCGTATCCAGGAAGAGATGATTTATCTTGATCTAATCTAAAAATATGTTGATCTAATATGAAGATATGTTGATGTAATATGAAGACCATATACATGAGAAGCTGATTTTGAAATTGAAATATATCGACCTGGTCTTTGAAGACCTTTACGAGAATCAACATCGCTAATTTGGAATCAACATTGTAAATTTGGACATCACATGCAACTGACCATTCACTTAGATAATGGTCCACATGTAATTAGTACCTTTAAAAATACACATAAACAAAAAAATTCAGATAGGACATATGTCCTTCAACATGTAATTAGTACGTTTAAAAGTTGACACATGTATAGGGGTCAGCAAAATCGAGCAGAAACCGAACCGAACTGAACCGTATTCGGTGCGGTTCGGTTCGATTTTTTAAGGATTCAGTTTTCGGTGCGGTTAAATTTTTGAAAAATCGCACAAATATCGGTGCGGTTCGATTTTTTGTCCGAATGATGCGGTTTTAACCGAACCGCACCGAATATAGTTTTTTTTTTTATATATATTTTTATAAATATGAAATATGTTAACATGTTTGTATTGTACATATACATGCTCATTTTGGGTCTTTAGTTTGGGATGACTAACATTAACAATAAATAAGTAAAGTAATAAATAATAACAATAACAATTAAAAATTAATAACATTACATTAAAATTTAATTTCTTGCCTTTGTTTTCTACTTTCAGTTCAAATCTTGGGCTTTGGTTTGGTAATATTGCACATTAGATGATGATGATGTAGCTTCATTTTTTTTTTTTAAATTTGCGTTTAACCGAAACCGCACCGCACCGAACTTGCGGTGCGGTTTTGGTTCGGTTTTTCTACATGTTTCGGTGCGGTTCGGTTTGATAAATAAAAAATTTCAGTTTTCAGTTTTTCGCGGTTCGCTGCGGTTTTGCACCGAACCGCACATGCTAACCCCTACACTTGTACAATGAAGCGTTGTAGCTATACTATATAAAAACGACTATAATTAGGTCCATGAAATGTACTTCTAAGACCATCTCGTTAGTCTTATCTCTAATTTTTTGTACAACCTTTTGTTCTACATTAAAAAATCACAACATTTTGTTCTACATTAAAAAAGCACAAAGTTTCAGCACAGCATTTGAGAGGAAAATTGCACACCACTCCAGCGAAATCAAGAATCTGGCTCAGTGTTGGAGATACTCTAAGCACTTCAAAGACTCTAGAGACCAAAATACAAACTTCAATATATATCCTACTTTGCTTAACTCTTAATATTTTTAGCTTTTTATATGTATACACTTTTTGATTATGAAATGAAATTGACTATGAACAAATAAAATCTTTTGAAGTGATTTTCAAAGGGCTAGTTACAAGTGAGACTAGTTTCAAGTAGTTCAGGGAACAAATTTTACAACTCAAATAAGTCGCTAAACAAAATATTTTAGCTAACAAAATTAATATTATATATATTTTTTATAAACCACAAATAAATATACTTTTTAAAAATAAATTTTAAACAATTTAATATGTGGTGAACTTCATAGTACCTATGTGTGTATGTAGACTTTTCTGCTATCGAATCAAAAACAATTCCACATAAATGTTCATATAAATGTATGTGATCCAATCCCACGAGTGAATAATGTAGAATGGAACACCAATGGTTAAAAAGTAAAATTAAAAACAAAAATTATTTTATCTATTGCAATTAGTGAGTAGTAGGTTACAAAAAAATAAAATAAAATAATTTCTTTTATCATTTAGATATTAATAATTTACCAACCATAATATTGTTACAATATCCACTATGGAAATGGATTATTATCAAATAAACCAAACACAAACTGCCATTTACAAATCTTATCCATACCTCATCGAAACTAACCAGGTCAGTTCACAAAAGCCGGCAACACCGGACACGTGTCTCGAGCCCACGTCCCTTGAGGACAACACGTGTCCCAACTCTTTTGAACGTGTCACCATCTCCAAGCGCCTCAATATCTATTTATTCTCCAGCCATTCTCCATCTTTCTTACTCCCATCAAATTTGCTCCAATCCAAGAAAATCCTTAAAAAAAAAAAAGCCTACATAAAGATGCAATCCATCAAGGAAACCGCCGCCAATGTCGCCGCCTCGGCCAAATCCGGCATGGAAAAGACCAAGGCCACCGCTCAAGAGAAGGTACCATATATGATTATATGTATTCTAATTCTAATTTTCTTGTCTTTCCACAATATAAGTATAAATGTTGTAATTTTCTTGTTTTTCCAAAAAATACGTAATTTGCAGATGGAGAGGATGACAGCTCACAACCCGACCGAGAAGGAAATGGCAAGCGAGAGGAAGGAAGAGCGTATCCACCGGGCCGAGCTGAACAAGCATGAGGCCCGTGAGCAAAATGCCGCTGCCAAGCAGGCCGCTGGCATGGGCGGCCCACACACCTACTCCACCACTGGGGCAACCGGGCAGCCCACTGGAGCCCACCAGATGTCGGCCCTGCCCGGCCACGGCACTGGGCAGCCCGCTGGGCAGGTGGTAGAGGGGACTGTTGGGTCCCACCCGATTGGGACTGCAACCGGCACAGGTGGAACCACTGCACACAATACACGTGTGGGTGGCGCAGGTGGTGCTAACACGGGCGGAGGTTACAGTGCCTAAGGGAATGATGTTAATTATATGGAATGAGTGTGTGATTTAGCCGGCCATTTTCTTAATTGCCAGTGTGTTTTTCTTTAAATAAATAAAAAAGATGTATGAGTGTG